TTTCATCAATCAAAAAATGAGAAATTAATCTACAAATTACTTGACTATTATTAAGATTAAGTTTCAAATGAATTTTTCTTTTCAAGGCTTCAAAACTTATTCCTCACTGTATCTGAATCACTCTCTTACTTCCATCAAAGCTCACTCCTTCATTTCCTTCATATATTCTACCATTCCAATATATAATAATAACAATTCTACTCATCCTGCATTTTTACAAATAAACTTTATTTAATATTTAATTTTAAATATAATATAAAAATATAAATAATACCAAAATTGAATAAATAAAACTAACCTTTCTCCTTCCTCCTTCCTGTTTTTCGATTGCAAAATGAGCCTCGGATGGGAGGGGGCAGGGGTGGGAATAAATAATACCAAGTTTCGCCAAAAGATCTGCGTTAAAAACGTTTTCGCAGAAAAAATGGCGAAAGCGGAACTTGGCAGTGACTTCTAAGAGGAACCGCTCTTTAATTACCACTTCTAAGAGCGGTTCATTTGGAACCGCTCTCTAATACGCAACTGTGAGAGCGGTTCAATCTGAACCGCTCTCTAAAATGGAATTCTAAGAGCAGTTAAATGGAACCGCTCTCTTAGAGGACTTCTGAGAGCGGTTATTCTTGAACCGCTCTCTTATGAGAACTTCTGAGATCGGTTCTTTTTGAACCGCTCTCCAAGATTGACTTCTGAGAGCGGTTCAGTTTGAACCGCTCTCTTAGAGGGACATTAGAGAGCGGTTCCATTAGGAACCGCTCTCTTAGATGGGATTCTGAGAGTGGTTCAAACTGAACCGCTCTCTAATGTGTCTACTTATTCATATTTCGTTGGGTGAATGGTGAAATTACCTTCAACTTTCGCCCTTTGTTTGGCGAAACTTGTTTTATAATATTAAAATAATAAGTTTCGCCAGTCGTTTTGGCGATACGTGTGCGCCCCAATCCCAGACAAGGAAATTGTTTGAAAAATACACTATTTTGATAAATTATTTTTTATTTTACAATATTTAAATAAAAAAGCCCAATTTGTCTCTTCTTCTCTTTATTTTGAAAATATATAAAAAATATTTTTAATTGATGATTTAAATTTTGAATTTTTTTAATTTTAAATGTGGTCCACTCTTGGTTTGCACTCTGACCAAAAATTGTCAGCAAAAGAGACGATGAGCAAAAGCTTGTCTTATTTTCTCATTGACATTTACTATACACCTAGACCAGTAGAGTTTTGTCGTATTAGATTAGTTCCGAAAATCTTAAATTTGAGAAACACTGTTTTAATACCCCATTTAACATATTTATTATTATTACTTAATTTTTTACAATTTTATTTTTGTGATGGGACAGTTTATGAAAAAGCATAGAAGATATAGATGCCATCGACTGAACTTAAAGAAAAGAGTAACCATCAACTTCTCCGCCCAAGAGTCAGTGTTTGAGGGTATATTTCTGACGGAGAAGCTCTGATCTTGTCCTATATGCTGCCATGCAACCACTCATGATGAGCTCACGATTTTTAATAATTAATTAATTTAAATAAATAAATAATTTCTAAAAATATATATTTTAAATTAATTCATATAATTTTTTATTAAATTAATTATATAAATTTCTTATCATAAAAAATCACTAAACAATTCGTATTTCATCTTTTATCTCTTAAAGATAAAACCTAAAAAGTAATTAATATTTAAAAATATTGTTTTTTTAAATTAATTTTTATTAAATTTTTATTTTAATTTTAGTTTTGTAAAGTTTTAATTTTTTAAAAATAAATTTAATTATTATTTTTTGAATCAATATTGTTGATTTAGTTAGTATTTTTTTTTACTTTATTTTTCTTTTCTAAATATTCACATTGAATTGAATTAGTGTTATGTGAAATCAAGATATCATTTTTTGAGATACCAGTTTTTTTTAAAATATCAACAAATTAATATTATTTAAAGTTAAAATATTAATTTTTTTAAAAAAAATTTAAAATAATTAAAAGAAGTTGAACTGTGTGAGTTAAAAATACTTAGACTATTTCGCTATATCTATATTTTTATTGTTCATCAATTGAGATAATATAGAATTTTTTCATATATAAGAGATAAAAAAAAATACTTATTTTTATCATATTCAATTTTATCTTAACAATGTGAATATAGACTTTTCGTTCATAACAATAAAAACATAATAATTAAGAAACTTTGAAATATTGCATTCATAATTAATTCTAATTTTATTTTAGTTTAATTTTTTCATTATATTTAATATTAAAATATTTTACTATTTCACTTTATTAATTTATCGAAAATTCTTAAGAATAAGATGAGGTATAAGATGTTATTTAAATCAAACAATCTTGATTTAAGAGATGATAAAATAGTTTATTTACAAAATTTTAAATTTTAGGACTAAAATTAAAACAAAGACTTAATAGCGACTAATTTTAAAATGATGTATTATTTTAGAGACTATTTACTTTTTAAGTTTTACTTTTAACATCTTGATAAAGACTTTTTTCAAAAAGAAAATAGTACTAAATTTAACAAATTTCTTTTACAAAAATTAATGCTAAAAAAATATATTTTTAAGAACTATTTACTTATTTAAATTTAATTAATTTATAAATAATTTAATTATTTTTCATTTGTTTCACTTGTGATTCAAAACACTTCTTTAAAATGGTTAAAATAAAATTGTTCTACAGTGTTATGTACTTAATTTTATCTCTTATGAATAAAGACTAACCATTAACATGTTAAGTTTATATTGAAATATTTTTTTAATTATATAATTTTTCTATAATTCAAATATATTAATATTAATAATTATATTTAACTAAAAATTATAAATCAAAAATAAAAATAATATAAATTAATTATATGAATTTAAAATAAAAAATTTAAACTCTACTTCACCAATTTAAAAATATACTCTTAAGCTACTCTCCACTAGCTGATAAAAAAAAATTGAAGTATAATCATGATTAAAAAATATACTTCGCCAATTTTTGTTTGTAGTTGTGAGGTGTCATGTTGTCAATTTGGCGGTGTCCACAGTCCAATCAATCAAGAGAAGGACCACGCTATTCATGCATTGGTTCAGCCAACAAATTATATATTAAAAAATAGTAATTCTTCAAAATATAAACTAATTATATTAATTTAAAATAAAAATTTAAAAGTTTACATCACCAATTGATATATATTATAATTTAAAGAAAAATTACTCTTTAATTAATTTTGAAATTACCAGTAAAATAGGAAAAAGTTCAAATAAAAATTATCACAAATATCACATTTCTAAAGTCTATCTCTGACATATTCTTGTTATATATATTTTCATATCACAGACAAAGAAGAAAAAAAAAATAACAGTCTCTGTTCTCTAATATCATCTATACACATTGAATATTTTATTTGTAAGTGACAAGTGATTTTCATAAAACGATCTTATTTTCAACAGTTTCAAAAGAAAGTCCAAGTGAAACAAAATAATAAACATATAAATTATTCCATAAATTTAGACAAACTTGTTATCTATTTTCATGCTTCACACTGTGTTATGTATCAGTTCACTGTGAAACTAATACATGCCACGTTTTTTGGTTGTGCTTTTAAAAAATTATATTTGTTAATTATAAACTATCTCAACGAAATAAAGTTAAAATATTTAATTCATTATATTATTAATATTATTTATTTTCTAAGCTACAACTCTCGAATCACAGAAATAACAAACCAAAAATAAAAAGTTCCAATATTTTAAGGAATAATATTCTAAAATCTTCAATTCCTTGATCTTATATATCTTGTTATTTAGTAAATAAATAAAATATTAAATAATTTTTTATATTTTTAAGACAATAAATACATGATTTTTTATTTAATATTTATTTATTAAAGTATAAGGAGATTATTTAAAAAAATTACAAAAGAAGATATAGCAAAATTGGCTAAGCATTAGGCCTATAAGCTCACACAAACATGTTTGAGAAATGAAAAAGCGAGAAAGGTGAGAAAAAATAGACTCATCAGATCATGCATTTTATAATTTCTGCATTCATTTCTGTATTCATCTTCTAACGAGTTCATCTTTTTTTTGTTCCTTACATTTTATTAATTTTGTTAAATTTTAAAAAAATAAATATTATTAATTTTGTTTTTTATTTTCAACTGCAAAACATCAAAAGATGAAAGGAGATAAGCGGTTAAAAATAAATATTTTGACAATAACTATGCTGCGTAGGATAAGTGAGGGAGCATGGAAGGAAAGGAAAGGAACGTATTTCACTGAATTGTCCCATCAGTTCTGATACAAATTCAGATGACAGAACCACAGAGAGAACACTTTGTGAGAGTAATTTAACATGGAAGTAAAATTAAAACAAACATGCATGAAAATGTAATGGTGATGATAGTTTAGTTATAAACAACACTTGTACGAGAATTGTGATGATCGACAACTCAAGTTGAGGTTAAAATTGTTGAAAACTATTATCTTAAATTATTAAAGATTAAAAACAAAGTTGAAAGGAAGCTAAGAGAGGTGAAGTATGGTATATATAACCGGAAATAAAATAGGGAAATCTATATTTAATTTTATGACAGATTCGTCGGGTAGGAAATAAAAAATGCAATAAACTTTATTTATTTAAATTAAATTAAAAATTTCTCAAAATAAATTTAACATTAACTAGCTTTAAATTTATTAAAATTTATCAAGTTACAATTTAAATGTCCGCTTAGTTAAAATTAAAATTTAATTTATTTCAACAAATAGTAAATCGCATAAAAAGCTAGTATTTTATACACTAAATAACAGTGAAATTTTATCCTACATATTATTATTATTATTATTATTAAACTCAACTAATTAACAAATGGCGTTGCAATATTCAATTTAATTTATCAAATTAACAAATTCATGATTTTTCGTGCAAATTTACCAAGTTCTGACCGATTATATATACCAAGTGATATCTCCCATGCTATTCAGTGTGCGTATGTTACTCACTTAAATCAAAGTTTTTTCTTCCTTGCTTCCCACACACAGCAATGTCTGATTCCGAATCCGTTGTTCATTTGGCATTCCTTCCAAGTGCTGGAATGGGCCACCTTAACCCCTGTCTTAGAACAGCATCATTGTTCCTACGCAAAGGTTGTAGAGTCACTCTCATCACTCCCAAACCCACTGTTTCTCTCGCTGAATCGAACCTCATTTCGCGCTTTTGTTCTTCTTTTCCTAACCAAGTCACCCAAATGGACTTAAACCTTGTTCCTTTGGATGATCCAGAGAATGTTAACACCAACGACCCTTTTTGGCTTCAATTTGAAACTATTCGTCGTTCTGTTCACCTTGTAGCTCCTATACTCTCCTCACTCTCACCAACCCTCTCAGCTTTCATCTTTGATGTTAGTTTAATTTCCCCTTTGGTTCCAATCATTGAGAAACTCTCTTGTCCAAGCTACATTTACTTCATTGCACCAGCTAGAATGTTCTCTTTTTTTGCATACCTTTCTGTTCTAGCTGCTTCAAATCCTGGTGCAAAACCTTTTTCATTCATTGGTGACGTTATTAAAATCCCCGGCATTGCATCACCGATACCAAGATCCTCTGTCCCTCCTTTGCTTCTTCAACCCAACTCTCTCTTTGAGAGCATATTGATGGAGGACAGTCCTAAACTCACGAAGCTCAATGGAGTTTTCATCAATACGTTTGAACAAATAGAACCTGAGGCACTAGCAGCTCTAAATGAGGGGAAAGTAGTTAAAGGGTTGCCACCTGCGTATGGTGTTGGTCCCTTAATGGTTGGTGAGTTTGAGAAGGTAGATCAAGGGGATGGGGGATGCATGAGTTCCATAATGAAGTGGCTTGATGGACACGCAAAAGGGTCAGTGGTGTATATTTGTTTAGGGAATAAAACTGCAATAAGAAGGCAGCAAATAAAGGACGTGGCTTTGGGGTTAATAGAATGTGGGTATAGTTTTTTGTGGGTGGTGAAGTTGAAGGTAGTTGATAGAGAGGAGGAGGAGGAGGATTTGGAGGATGTGTTAGGGAGCGAGTTGATAAATAAGGTGAGGGAAAAGGGCATAGTTGTGAAGGAATTTGTAAACCAAATGGAGATTTTGGGTCACCATGCAGTTGGGGGTTTTTTGAGTCATGGTGGTTGGAACTCATTGGTTGAGGCTGTGTGGCAAGGAGTGCCCATTCTTTCATGGGCTCAGTTTGGGGATCAAAAGATAGGGTCTGAAGCAATGAGGGATGTTGGGGTGGGGGTTTTGCCTGAGGAGTGGGGGTGGGGAGGACATGAGGTGGTGAAAAGTAAGGACTTTGCTAAGGAAATCAAAGAGATGATGGGCAATGAATCTTTGAGGTCCCAAGTTAGAGAAATGCAGAAGGTTGCTAGGAAGGCTGCTGGGGTTGGCGGAAGTTGTGAGGTTATTGTTAAGAAACTAATTGAAGAATGGAAGAAGAATGCTTAAAGCACCTGAGGATTAGGGACTTGTCCACAGGGTGTGTGTTGAGAACATCTATAATGTTAATAAGCTTTGTTTAATTTCCCAGCCTTAGATTAAAAAGAATAATAAATCTTCGCCACTTGCGAAGGCTATTAAGTTTGTAGTTTTATTGTTTATGATTGTATTTTCAATCGGATATGGTTTTGTTGAGTGTTTAATGTAATTGTCATTTTGTTGCATATGCGTTTTTAAGAAGGGAATTTCTCTCGTACCCACATAATAATTTAGGGTGTCTATGAAAATATTAAATATAATTTATTATATAATTCAAATCACCTAAATGATAAACATTAAAGGAATTTTTATTTTTAACATGAATACAATATGTATTCTTCGATATAAAAAATATTTTTAACTTCTTACTATTTGTATAGAGAGATAAGATAAACAAACTAGTAAAGAAAACGAGTTACTTGTCACCGTGTTGAAATGTTTGTGATCTTAGAAATTTGAGATTTAATTTGCATTGTGTATTTGAAAACATGTTGAAAGAATTCTGTAAATAAAATTTAAAAATATAAAACTGAGAAAGGTGGGAAAAAACAGACTCATCAGATCATGCATTTATAATTTCTGCATTCATTTCTGTATTCATCATCTAGCGAGTTCATCTTTTATTTAATTTTGTTAAATTTTTTAAAAAAATAAACGATCAAGATTTATTTATTTGTTTCTTATTTTTCAACTGCAAAAGATCCATGCTGTGGAAAAGATGAAAAGGGGAGAAGCAGTTGAAAATAAATATTTTCACGTTAATTATGCTGATTAGATAGGTGTGGGAGAAAGGAACGTATTTAAATGAATTGTCGAATTAATTGGATAGTTAGAATTCAGATGACAAAACCACGTGAAAAAGTTATCAAAGGTACACAGAAAACTTTATGAGGGTGATTTAACATTGAAGTAAAATAAAAAAAGACATGCTCGTAATGTATGAGAATGTAATGGTAATGCGAGTTATAAACAACACTTGTACGAGAAATGTGATGATCGACAACTCAAATTGAGGTGAAAATTGTTGAAAATTATTATCTTAAATTATTAAGGATTAAAAACAAAGTTGAAAGGAAGAGATGAGGAGTATGGTATATATATCAGGAAATAAAATAGGGAAACAGATATTTAATTTTATGATAATGATATGTCTGCTAGGAAATTAAAAAAAATGCACAAACTTTGTTTGCTTCCGTTTACATCGCCAACTGTGATTGAGATCAGTAGAGGTTCACGGGGGACAACTTTGAGAGTAAAACTATTGGTTGTAATTAGAAATTTTTTACAGAAAAATTATTAAAAAAATAAAAAATACAAAAATAGATTCAGCAAAAATATATTTATCAAAATGAATCTGTTCATGGTAGCATAAAAATGTAAGTACAAAATTCGGTTTTATTTTTAAATTTTGTTTAATATTTTTATATAATAAAATAAATATTATTATTTAAATTATATTTATATTTTGTTAAAATAAATATTTATAATATGTTATTCTAATAAATATTTATAAATATTTTGTTAATTATATATAATAAAATAAGTTTTATTATTTGAATTATGTTTATATTTTTTTATTATTTGAAAATGAATAAAAATAATAAATAATATTTATTTTACATATTTATTAAAATTTATTTTATATATTTATGATAATAAATAATATTTTTAGAAAATAATAATAATTATATTTCTAAAAACTAATTAAAATAATTAAATAATAAATAAATTATTTTAGATAATTTTTAAAAACTAATTAAAATATTTAAATAATAAGTATATTATTTTAGATAGTAATGTTAATGCTTAAATTATTTATACTTGAAGAATAATAATTATATTTTTAAAAATTAAATAAATATATTAAATATTATTCTGTTTATTTATTTATTTAAATATGTAATTTTGAGCTAATATTGTTAAATATTAGTATGATAAAATGATATTTTGAATAAAAATATTATTTTAATTAAATTAGTTTTTTAAATTACATTATTTAATATTATAATTTTTAATACTTTAAACTCTAAAACTTTACTATTATAATTTTTAATAAATTTTATTTTAGAATAAAAAATTTATTTTTAAAAAGTAAATAAAATATTAAATTATAAGTTAATTATTTATACTTGAGACAAATATTTTAAAATTAAAGTTTTCATATTACTAAGGTAACATTGATAAAGACAAAGTGCCTTAATAATGATGATAACAAATTCATAACATTAATAATTAACTATCTCAGTAATGATGGCCAATTTCACAACGAGGGCAACGTCTGTGAGATGGTGCATTTTGTCGTTGTGGTTGTTGCTCTGGGATTTCAGGATGAACTTGTGGAAGATTCACTACTAGAAAACCTGCAAATATAGACGAATTTATAGATAAATTTTTTTATTATTACAGATAAATTTTAGCATTACAGACAGATTTATAGATGGTTACAATCCATCTGTAATATGCGCGTCAGTAAATAATTGCAGACAGATTTTTAAATCCGTTTGTAATTTATAGACGGAAAAATCGATCTGTAATTTACAGACAGAAAAATTCATCTGTAATTTACAGACAAAAAAATTTATCTGTAATTTATTTATGAAATTTCAAAAAAATTGTTTCATTTTTTTATAAACATCATTATTTCTTACTGTTCCTAATTATCACAATTTATAAACACAATAAAAACTACAAAATTATATATTTAAATCAGAAATTATTTATAAAATGTAAAATTAAAATGTCATTACAGATGAAGAAATAAACATCTAAAAAAATAATATCAAAAATAAAATATTGTATATCGCTAATAATTAGTGTGATCATCTTCCAAAAAAGTATCGCCATTAGTAAACAACAAATTAGAGGAAGAATGACGCATGGAGCTGAAGATTGGTGGTGTTGGAGCTGGTGGAGGAGAAGGAAGAGATGTAGATATGCTTGCTCTCATGACCTCAAAGTATGCATGCATCTGCTGCATCTGCATATATTCTTGCTGCATCTGTTGCTGCACCTCCCTCTACATCATCGATGTCACCTTCTTCTTTATCTTCTTCTCCATTTTCTTCGCCCACTTCTTCTTCCATGCACTTTCCTTGGTCTTCCACATCTCCTCATTTTGCTTCTGCAGTTTTTCATTGAGGGCATGGACCTGAGTGCAGACCATGTCCTCCACTTCCTCAGGTACAAGAGAAGGGGCATCTCCGATGACAGATACAGGGGACACAAAGTCTGCAAAGTGGCTCCTCATGCCATAAATGCGGCCTTTATAAAGGCCACCCACCGTCTCTGACCATATAGTATCATCATCAACTAACTCTAGATCTTGAGAAGATGCCTCCTCAAGCCTTTGAACATAGTCATCCTATAGTTCAATGCAGATAATTATATATTAGTCTCAAAAACTATTTGATAAATCATTCATAATAACATATAGTATCGATAAGAATGACTTACATATGTGGCCTGAGATCGTGTATCAACCCACAAGGTTTTGTCTCCCTTGCGAGTATGTGTCTCCTTGAACACCTCTTCATGTGTAGGTGGTCTCTTCAGTGACTTTTTCTGCAATTTCAATTAAATCACCATCTCAAATATCAATTATAGATTGAATAAAATAATTAAAAGAAAATTAAAAATCACATACCAAGTTCGCTTTAGTGCCAGCCAAAGTCGTAGAACCATCAGTATGCAATGATCCTCTTTTTAAGGGTGAGAAGCAACATATCCAAGGTTAGGCACCATGATAAACTGCTCTTGTCCCCTATCCTACAAGGTCTGCATCGTAGCTGGTATGAAGGTGGAAGTGGGAGCAATGGGTAAAGAAGTGTTGTCATGATTAGAATGCTGAGCAACACCTTTTTTACCTTTATCTGCCATATTTGAATCAAATATAATACATATTTAGAGACCAAATACACAAATACACAATATTGTATCAACCTTTTATTTTACATTATACAAATTTCTAATGTAAATTTTGGCAGAATTTCCCCTAATATATGAATATTTTCTTATATTTGTTTACACTTAATACAACAAATTTCTAATATAAATTTCAGCAGAATCTCCCATAATATATGAATATTTCCTAACATCTGTTTACACTTAGTACAACAAATTTCTAATATAAATTTCAGCAGAATCTCCCCTAATATATGAATATTTCCTAACATCTGTTTACACTTAGTACAACAAATTTCTAATATAAATTTTGGCAGAATATCTCTTAATATATGAATATTTTCTTACATTTGTTTACACGTACTTAATATAAAAATCTAAATTTCCTTTACACATAATCTATATATTATGTAACAATTTATTAATCAGTGCATAAAAAGCATACACATTACAATCCTAAATCGTTCTAGAGCACATCCCCTTATAACCTCACAACATGCATATTCTACAAACTTCATAAACACAAACAATCTTATAGCATACAGTAATCAGGTTTGGAGAAGGACCTCTACGCCCTTCCCTCCAGTCATACAATCTCCAATCCTACAATTCTACATTAGAAATTTTAAGTCTCTAAAATACATTAAAAAATAAAAAAACTAAACCAATTAAAAGTTACAGTTTCGTACCACGAACACAATGATGCAAATTATCTTTCAAATGGATGCTCCAATTACTCGCAAAGGCCAAAAAATTGAAACTCCTAGAGAGAGAGAGAAAGAAAGGCGAGAAAGAGAGAAAATTATGCAAAATGAGGAAGAAGAAGAAGAAGAAGAAGGCGCATATTTATGTGTTTTGCACATTACAGACAGAAAAATTTGTCTGTAAATGGTTTAATAAAACAGTGTATTTTAAAAGTTCAATTACAAACAAATTTATCCGTCTATAAATTCATCAAATACAGTTACATACGAAAAAATCCGTCTATAGATTGCCAGATGAAAAGTCGGTCAAAAACGACAATATTTACAGACAGATTTTTTTGTTTGTAACTCTCGCTCCAAATTTCT